GAAAGACCTTAGATGGTGGTATTTCCCCACTATGCCTTGGTGGCAGCTGCCCTAAGTTTACTGTGTCCCTCAGCACATAGTCCTGGACCTTGAAATGTGCCAGTCTGCAACACTTGGTCAAGGCCAACTCCTTGATCTGGAAGGCCAGCAAGTTTCGAGCGGAACAAAGAGCGCCTTTCATTGAGTTGGTAGTCCTCCATGCAGTCTGTCTTCTTATGCATCCCAGGGAACAGACCGTAGAGCACAGAGTCCTGTGTCACAGAGTTGCTCAGGACGAACCTCAACAAATATCACTGCATCTTTCTCCAGACTTCCTTTGTAAAGGCACAGTGTGACAGTCCAGGTAACTCGCCCCCTTCCTAATATGTTGCAGTATTTGTACTCAGAATCCAGCTCAACTCTGAGTTCCTTAAGCAACCAATATTTGCTACAGATGTCACTATGAGTCACAATGGGTTCCATCAGCTCCCACATTACATGCAGGTATAAAATATATCGCCTGGCCTTCCATCTCTATTATTTAGCTTTTAATTTTTTTAAAAATTCCTACTGGTCTTTTAGTTTGTAATCTGTAAATATTTCTCCTATTTGCCTTCAATCTGAAAGTCAACTATATAGTCAAATTAGCAGCTATTACCAATGAATTTACAGAATTCCTGTGACATCACTGTTCACTTTGTGCTGGGTCCCAATTTATCCTATTTTTTGAAAAAAAAAACTTACCAACTATGTGCAAGCAAAAAGCATCTCTTCCCCTTTGCACTCTAAAGAGCATGTCACCTCTTAAATGGTCATCTGGAAATACTGTGGGCAGAATTTTCCAATCTGGTGAAGGTACATTTGGTGACAGGGTGATCAGAAAGTTTGGAGCAAAATTAAGCACTTTAAGGCAGCTCCCTGATTGAATCTCACATGAACCTTGCAGGATTCAAAAGAGTTTGAAGGTCAAGATTGGCAAGCCTCAGGCTATAGCCTAACCACCAGATGGCACCACAGAAAGTAAAAAGTTAAAAATGGTGCATGAAGGTATAGGAGTAAGGAAACACCCATTAAAAATGTATCATTAAATATTTAAAATTTTAGGAATGCATCTATACATACAAGTTCAGAGCAGAAGAGGCCATTTGGCTTCTCAACCTCATTCTATTATTCAATAAAACTGGCCTCAAGGCCACATTTCCATCTAACCCTTGCCAATAAATTTTCACCCCCTTTCTTACCAAAAATGTGTCCATCTCTGCCAGAAAAACATTCAAAGATTCTGCTTCCATCACCTTTTGAGGAAAATTTTGACAGACTTGCAAACCTCAGAACAAAAAAAAAATTGCCTTATTCACATCTTAAATAGGCAACCTCTTACTTTTAAGCAGTGACTCTTAGTTTTAGATTCTGCCACCAGAAGAATCATCCATATAAAAGAAACTTGAACACATCACCTTGTTTTGAATGTTATATTTAGATATCAGACCTGAATAGGGAAGATCCAATTCACTAGACAATTAAAAAGATCATGAACAGTTTTGGGTATGTTATTTAAATAGTCAAAAACTAATCAAACTAACTTACTTAAGTATAACATCACATTACAATGTGAAAAAGTGGAGTTCTGTTGTGGCACTTATTTATATAAATCTAGAATATCCATTTACAAATAATGTTCTAATTTCTCTAAATTGTTAAGAACAAATGCAAACATGGCACATTAAATAAATAGTTTGTTTTGCATGTCAAGGGTGTGGTGTTAAATGTTACGCATGCCAAATTGTAGTGATAGCATTATCTCATTTGAGGTTTTAAAAACATTGGTAATGATACATGTTCTGAACAGATGGAAATACTCCCTTTTACAGTATTTTCACACCCTCCCCTTTTCAAGTTGACATATTTACCATGGATACATTTCCCTAGTACAAGCTCAACAATAGCAATGGTGTCAAAATAATTTCCTCCGCTTCTGTGGTGCAGAATTAGCATAGCACGGAGGTCATATGTATCACTTTCCACGACATGCCGTAGTGGTTTTATAATGGTCTCTTGGTCTTCTTTGGTTCCTTGTTCCTGGTACCAGTGTGTGCGGAGCCAGGAAAACATAACATTGCTGAAACATACCTAAACCTCAACCAGTTCATACTCATGAAGCATACAGTCATATTATGAAGGTCAAGCTACATTGAAAATGGCATTGTTGAAGTGCCACACTTTAAACACCCCAAGATATCAAATCTAAAACACCCCAGAACAAAAATGGGTGCAACTTAAATCTTCACACTTAGGCTAGCAACCAAGGCTCTATGTCAGCCAATCTGAGATTTTGACTTTCACACCTCAAGACTAAACGAACCTTACAGCAGTCACTCCATTCATAATGTAATGAATATCTTTAGCATTTTCCCAATAAACAGATTAATTTTAAGTAAAACAGATACACTTTTCCCACAGTTTTCAATTGTCATTACTGAATTATTTTTATTGTATTTGTAAATCTTCTATTTTGATACAAGGTTTCCCATGTCTCCAGGGATTACTGAACTTTCTGGGAGGTGTTTACCTATTGCCTGAACGTGGTGACATTGGCTTTTTTCGCCAGCAATTAAAACCCAAGATTCAGAAATTCTGGACTGATGACATTGAAGAAAATATATCAACTTTTTCAAAAATGAAGTCACCAGTCAGCTCAGTTGTTGTTGAAGTCACCGATTACACTTACATGTCACTTTCCAATTTGCAAAACGTTCCAGTGGCATGAATCAGTTAGCGTATGCACAAGAATAAAGTAATTAGGAGCAAAAGTAGGTAAGTTGGCACTTTGAGCCTACTCCACCATTCAATAAGATAACGACTGATTCAATTCCATATTTCTGTCTCTACAACCCTTAACTCTCTTGTTAACTGAAAAGTGACCAAGGCATAGCCCAAGAATTTCACTTTGTAATCTCCAGATCTTTAAAAGTTTCTTCAAGGGCAGAGGTGTAGGAAGATAATTCCAGAGTCCATGAGTATGATGATAGAAAGCTCTGACACAATTTGGAACAGCAGAGTACATCCATGCACCTTGATCCCTTACGAAGGTCTTATTTTTCAATATACTCTCTCTTACTATGTCGATCGAACAGATTGGGACACTGCACCATTTTGTTACACTGTCTTAAAATGACTATTTCACAATTTCCACTTTCTGATTTGTCAAAATATTAATGCACTGTTGTTCATTGGCTGTTTAAGTACAACGTTAGAATGAACGTGTGAAATTATGGGCCATTATTTCCTATAACAGATGAATGAATGGCATCTGGTGTTAATTGGAAATGCCCTTGCCCATTTATCATAATATCTTGCATCAAAACATTGCTGATGTTGAGCTGATATAACATTATGCCGAAGGAAACAGGCATACAAATCTGAATTAGCTGGGCAAACCACAACATATCTCCTTAACCATTCAGGTTGCAAGATTGTAAAATTAACAGTGCAAAGACTGAGACAGAAGTACAAGTGAGAATAAGTAAATGCAATACGCAATCAGGTGTAGGATGAAAAATACAGAGTAAGAAAGAATTGGACTGAGGTAAAAAGGAAAACAATAAATGACATCCTGAGGAGACTTTACAAAGTAAGAGCGCATTTTCTCCTTGTAGAAGAGACTACAAATAAACAGATACAGTTTAACTATTGACTATCTCACACATAAAATTCTCTTTCACAGAGAACATTGGAGAGTGGGTCACTGAATATACTCAAGGGTCAGTTACATCCCTGTTTTGCTCAACAAAGAAGTCAACAGCTATGAAGGGGAGAGGGGTAAGTGGAGTTGAAGCCACAAATAGATCATTCATTATTTCACCGAATGGCGGAGTAAGCTCAAGGAAGGCCAAATGGTCGAGAGTGGTTCTTCTAAGAATTTCAATGCCTCACAAATCAATTGGCAAGAAGTAAAATTTAACACATCACTAGAAGAACTTCAACTAACCCAGGCTTAATTATGCAATAAATTGCAACATAGCTTCCAGTATCCTAAAATGACACCAATCCGTTAGTCTTAAAATTATTTCCATATAATGGCTAAGTTCATACAAGAACTGTACTTGAACCAAGAGGTTAATCAAGGAAAAATACAAGGTGAACAGAAACCATTGCACGTAGAGACAGGCTAAGAACAGAGATTAAAAGGAAAGTTGCAAAGGATCATATGAGGAGACAGTCATGGAATGATCCCTCTTTCTTTCTGGACTTTGTGTAGATCAAGAGAAACTAAAAGGCTGCAGAGTGTACACTGACTGCGTATGATAGTGACATGTATGATCACAGTTCTACTATGGTGGTTGCACACGTCCTGTATGAGATTGCAAACTAAAGTGTCTTTATTAACTGTAGCAGTACCACTAAACCAAGGGGTGACAAAGAATCTTGTTACAGGACTTACTGATCTGCTTATCATTAGGATGAAATATTTCTTGGAGCTGCTTCCACCTCAGAAACAAAAAGGTTGTACAGTATTCTGAAGGCATTTCAGCTAGAGAGAGGAAGCAGCTGAGAACTTTCCAGCCATACATTCTCCTATTTAGAAATCATAAATCGGTAAGTATGAAAAATACTTATTTCACTAGTGTCCCATCATTTCCAGTTGATTATTTCATCTTTTGATTACACTTGTTTAGAACAGCCTTGAAATTTTTTTTTAAGAAGTAGTCTTGCTGTATTTTGTTTACTTCTTCCATTTCAGCAGTTCTTTAGTAGTTGTGCTAACAATCACAAAAGAACAATAATCAATTATCGTCTTCCAAGTATAAAACAGATGTTAAAACCAATTGGATTATTGTATAAAGTGACTCATCATCAGTTATAGTAATGTAAATTAGATTTAATTTTTCATAATTTATTAATAATATTCAAACTTGTCCCATTTTCACCAATACTATTCAAACCAATATGCAATGTAAATTAAAATCTCATTTGCAATTAAAGTTAATTTCCTAAGGATCTGCTCAAAGCATTCTCGTGAATGATCTCCAAACTAGTTTCTTTTATTGAAGATAAAGGCATTTTATTGAATGACTCCAATCTAATAAAATGAAGAATCTTGGTCATTTTTTCTTTGTAAAAATTTACAATCATTTTTGACTTTGTGGGCACTTGCGCATGGCATTGATTTATAGGGTTAAAATTCTCTAGCTTCAATCCCAAAAGGCGTTGTCCACCATAGACTTTTTGTTTTATGTACAAGTCCAGCTAAAGCAGTCTTTGAACTTCATAATTGAGAAAACAATTGAGTGGTAGCATCCACATTCAGCGCTTCAGCAGGTGGAGGTCTGGGTATCTGAAATATAAAGCAAAATAATACTTTAAATTAATAGGGGCTTCAACAGTTGCAACATATTACAATCAAGATTGTATTTAATTGTATATGCAAATTGGTACCAAATCCCAATATACTCATTATTTGTAAGCTACTTTATGATTTAAGACCTCTTAAGATTAAGCCCATATTCTTGTAGGTGCACGCTCTTAAAACTAAAGCAAAGAATTGCAGGTGCTGAAGAGTCACTGGACTTGAAGTGTTCACTCTGCTTTCTTCCCACAGATGGTACCAGACCTGCTGAGCTTCTCTAGCAATTCGTTTTGGCTCATAAAACCACTGGCCCTGAAAGCAGCAGTTAAGAAATAATACAGCACTCTGCTGCTTTGTCTGGCAAATATGCCATGAGTAGCTGAACTGCATTGAACAGCAAGATCCAATGTTTGATTCCCCATCTGTCCTGAGTTAGCTGTTTCTGTAGCTATGACAATAAATCTCAGCAAACCCCGAGTCAAGGAGAGTTTCTAATCATCAACGACCCCCGCTGAAAGGTGGAAGTATGGAAACCTCAGACAAAGAGTTGGAATGAGGTTTAGCCAAATGTTCAACTATATTGCAATGCTCATTTTATATGTCTATGAATGATAAATTGATATGTACAGTAACACAAAGCTGCTTGTATGTATCCCAGCAAGGACCCAATGCCTTTAGAAAGAGAAGATGGAGAAAGAATAAAGCCCCCATTCGATAGGCTGTGTTTATGTACTGCACAAGACAAGCTGCCATACCTCATCAGATAGACATGCAAACTGTAACAAACAGAACTGAAAATTGTGCAAAGCTGAACTCCACAAGAATCAATTTAACTCAACACATTGGGGAAGCTTGTTAAATTTACTTGAAAACTGTCGCAAAATGAAACCAGATAAATCTTAAAAATAAATTAAACCATAAACTCAGCTAGACTATTAGTTGCAGGGGTATCCATGATCTCAGTTTTCAGGACGTGTTTAGGATAAAATAAGCAATTACCTGCTGTGATTTCTTTGAAGATGCTGATGTATCTTTGGATAGGTTCTGGATCTCTTTTTGCACTTCTGAGAAAGCTTTATTGACTTTACAGACTTTTTCATTATTCACAATGTTAATCTGTTCAGAACAAAACATAAATTATATTTCCAGGCAGTGAGCTGCCCATATACTGCCTTTATATTATATAATCAGTGCACACATTAGATTCAGAAAATGCGCTGGTGACTTTCATAGCCAACTATGAAGTGATTCAAAGCAAAGCTGGCAATCTTATTCACATCATTATAGAATCCCTACAGTGAGAAAACAGGCCATTTGGCCCAACATGTCCACACCAACTCCACAAAGAGCATCCCACCCAGGCTTACCCCTCTACCCTGTCTCTGTAACCCTGTATTTCTTATAGCTAATCCTACACATGCCTGGATGCTGTGGACAATTTAGCATGCCCAACCCACCTAACCTGCACATCTTTGGACTGTGGGAGGAAACCAGAGCAGAGCAACCTGAGGAAACCCAACGCAGACTCCACATACACAGTCACCAAGGGTGGAACTGAACCCGGAACTGTGAGGTTGCAGTGCTAACCACTGAGCCACCGTGCCATTCATTGGTACTTTCTCCATCCACCACCTGTTTTTTATGTCACGAGTTGTTTGTTGGACCTCCGCCCTCAGTTGCCTGTAGATCTGCCTTTTCTCTTCCGAATGCAGTTGCTGTTTTACACTCAAATGCCATTGCGCTTCTGGTTTATCAGTTCTTGGATCTCCTGATTATTCTCATCAAACCAGCCTTGGTGTTTCCTAAACAAAAATCTAAAAAGAACTGTGGAAGCTGTAAATCAGAAACAAGAATACAGATTGCTAGAAAAGCTCGGCAGGTCTGGCAGCATCTGTGGAGAGAAATCCGAGTTAACACTTCGGTTCGAGTGACCCGTCCTAAGAACTGGAAGCTTGGTGTTTCCTGGTTACGTGACTGACCGGGTTTTTGAAGGCATTGACGATGGCAGCCTTGAGGCTGTTGGGATCCTATGACTCTGTCGTCGAGGGTTGCTAGGTTTGTGGAGAGGAGCCGATTGTATGAAGCTCTTTTCCAAGTCTTTGAGTGCCCCAACATTGAACTTGTTGTGGTACTGCTTCTGTCGTCTCCGCTGTGGCGGGGCGATATTTATGTTGATCCTTGTTCAGATCAGGCAATGGTCTGTCTAGCAGTCGTTGGCTCCTGCCCCACGGTGCGGGTAATTCTAACATCTTTCTGGTCCATCACTCTTGACGATGACAGTCAAGCAAGTGCCGGTGTTTGGAGCGTGGGTGCTGCCACATTGTCTTGTATTTGACCCTTTGGTGGAACAGTGTGTTGATATTTTGGTAAATTTAAGCTGACAACTTTGGTTGACTTCTGCAAAGCTTATTACATTCATTTTAATGAGAACTGGAAAGCTTCAACTTCTGGAATAGAAGAATGCCTTTCGCTACCCCCTCCCCCAATTTATCTGTTTTAAATTGCATGAAATTTAGGTTGATCTAACAATTAAACGTTAAAAAAGGAGGCAATTTCCACTGAAGGTCAAGCAAGCAAATTCACAAATGCTGCATTTAAAATAACTGAATGGAAGCTCTGGATAAAATCACTGAGCCAAATTGTTTTTATTCACTCAGATTATTTATAAGGAGAATACAAATTGGAACAATACTGTACTAACATTGCTTAGAAGGCATAAAATTCACTAAGTATACCATTAGCGCGATTCCCACGTACTTGCAATGCACACATAAATACTATTTGCTAACATCAAATGCCCGAGTGACATTATTAAAAAGCATTAATATGAAATGCAGCATTAACATGCAGTGTGGGAATGAGTGCAAGAAAGAACTATTTAATCATTAGCATTAGCATCAAGAGGTCACTGGTCTGGGTCATTCAGTTTCAAAAAAAAAAAGGGAAGAAAGGATGAACAATCACCAAATTCTAGCACAATGCAGGCTATTCTTGAGGTATTGTGGATATAACCCTGTCAACAGTTATTCTATAATGACTGCAACAGTTAATGATGGATTCTGTGCTTCAGAAACAGTGAGCTCGGGAGAGAATGGGTCTCCTTAAAGATCAGCATGGCCGTCTATGTATGGAACCACAGGAGACGGGGAGCTTTTTAAAATGAATATTTCTCCTTAGTGTTTACTGAGGAGAGAACCATGGAGGCTAAGGAAACAAGTGGGGATGTTTTGGACTGCATTAGGTATTACCAGAGAGGAGGTGCTTGCAGCCTTAAAGTGCACTAAGGTGGATAAATCCCTTGGGCCTGATCAAGTCCATCCTCGGATGTTGTGGGAGGCTAGGGAAGAAATTGCAGGGGCCCTTGCAGAGACTTTTCTTCACCTTTAGCTACTGGTGAAGTTCCAGAAGACTGGAGGGTAGGTAATGTTGTTCCATTGTTTAAGAAAGGTAGCAAAGACGAGCCAGGGAATGGCAGGCCAGTCAGCGGCAGGCCAGTCAGCCTGACATCAGTGGTAGGCAAGTTATTGGAGAGGATACTGAGGGACAGGGTCAATCAACATTTGGGTAGTCAAGGACTGGTTAGGGATAGTCTGCGTGGATGTGTGCGCAGGAAGTAATCTCCGACAAATCTTTGAAAAACTCTAAAAGAGGTAACCAAGATGATAGATAAGGGTAGGGCAGTGGGTGTTGTCTACATGGACTTCAGTAATGCCTTTGACAAGGTCCCGCACTGCGGGCTAGTCATGAAGGTTTGGTCGCATGGGATCCAGAGAGAGCTAGCTAATTGGATTCAAAATTAGCTTGATGGTACGAAGCAGAGGGTAATGGTTAAAGGTTGTTTCTCAGACTGGAGACCTGTGACTGGTGGTGTGCCACAGGCATAGGGGCTGAGACCATTGTTATTTGTTATTTACATAAATGATCTGGATGTGAATGTACAAGGCATGATTAGTAAGCTTGCAATACAAAATTACGAGGTTATCATTGATAGCAAAGAAGGTTATCAAAAATTACAGAGGGATCTTAATCAGATGGGGAAGTGGGCTGAGGATTGGCAAATGCAGTTCAATACAAATAAGGGTGAGGTGTTGCAATGCAATTCATTAATGCTATTTCAACCCATGGACCAGGGTACAATAGCAGCTTTTAAAGCTTATTATTTAAGGTGCACATTTAACAGGTTGACTGCAGCCACTGACGGGAACAAGGACAGTTATTTTCAATTTTGAAAGAGCTTTAAACATCAAGAATGCAATTGACATTATCATGGAGGCCTGGGGTGATGTCAGGAAGGACTGTTCGCATCCTGTTTAGGGGACGTTGTCCCAGATTTTTTTCAAGATTTTAAAGGCTTTGATCTATCAGAGGAGCTCCCAAAAATCAAAGAATGTTGTGTTGATCTTGCAAAGCAAGTTGAATTTGAAGAAATGGAAAGTGAGGATGTTGAAGAGCTGCTTGAGTGCCACTGTGAGGACCTCTACAGCTGACCTACAACAAGTTGTTACTGAGGGGGAAGTAGAAGCTGGAGATGAAGATGAAGTCGAAGTCCACAATGCAGCATCACGAGAGCTTTCCACTTCTGTTTTGTCTTCTATCCTGAGGGAAATTGAGAAGCAATTGCAGCTCTTAGAGGACAACGATTACAATGCAGAACGCAGCAGGGTGGCAGTTTGTGGAATAAGATCTTATTTGGCACCCTGTAAACAGCTTCTTCATGAAAGAAGAAAAAGGGCAAAGCAGCAAAAACTGCATGCCTTTTTTAAGCCAACCCCTAAGAAACAAACAAACAAACAAACAGTCAGAAGACAATGAACCACAGCCATCCACTTCTGGATTAACTATTTTTCACCCTAAGCCTATAACCACAACTGCACCTGAAGGTGGTGATGATGACAACCCTCAGCCCCTGCATTAACAACAGAGCAACCTCAAAACCTCCTCCCCCATCAACTCATCTTGACATTTTTCAAGGTAAGGTGTTACATTTACTTTCATTATTAAATAGGAATTAAATATTTATTCAAACTGTGCTATCCTTTGTGTTGGGCTTTTGAGTGATTTTTTTTTGGTGGTCTGCTCCTAGCCCCACTGTTCCCATAGGCCGTTATTTCTACGGCACGATTTTCTGTAACAAGATGTTGCACAGGAACATAATTATTGCATCATAGCAGAACTCCCTGTATGTGACTTATGTCAGCTCTACCAGTTGAAATCATTCCTTTACAAAACCTCCTACGGCACTGATATTGAAACTTCTCATTCTTTCATGGGCAGTCATGTTGAATCTTCTAGTTATAAGATGCTCAAAACTACCCTAGACTTGGGTTAGAATCCAGTCCTACCAACTAATTACAAAACAGTGAAGTGTCTAAAGATGCTTAACTAGGGAGCAAGAGTAGGAAGCCTGCCCTGTCATTCAATCAAATCATGGCTGATTTATTATTGTATACAATGCCCCATTGGATCTATTAGGGGATCTATAAACTACTCCCGCTAGTGACGTCTCATGTTCCCTATTGATTATCTCAAACCAAACTGTAGTGAGCAAAAAGTGCTCTCTCATTATTGGGGCAGCACAGTGATTAGCACTGTTGCCTCAGTGCCAGGGACCCAGGTTCGATTCCACCCTTGGGCGACTGTCTGCGTGGAGATTCCCCCGTGTCCGAGTGGGTTTCTTCCGGGTGTTCTGGTTTCCTCCCACAGCCCAAAGATGTGCAGGTTAGGTGGATTGGCCGTGCTAAAGTGCCCAGGGATGTACAAACAGATGGATTAGCCATGGGGAATGCAAGGTTACAGGGATGGGGAGGAGCGTGGGGAAGAAGGTGGTTGAGGAGGTGGTGGGTTGGATCTGGGTGGGATGCTCTTCGGAAGATTGGTGTGGACTCGATGGGCCGAACAGCTTGCAACCGCACTTGTAGGAATTCTATGATTCTATTGTATCAACTTCACCCTTAAGTGCTACCCTACCAACTTGTTCTAGTTCCCGGTCTCTTTGTTGAAGTGTCAAATATCCTTTGTTATTCAAATTCCAGCCTTGGTCTCCATGCAATCACATCTCTGTAAATGGCTACCATCAGGTCATATATTTCTCTTTTCCTCTCCCATCTAACAATTCATCTATTTTATTATGATTGTTAGAATATCAGCTGATAGTTATTCCTCCTGAAGTTGTAACTGCTCTAGATCATTTGCCATGTTGGCCCAAGGTTTCAGCTCCCAATGAAATGGAGCCATCCCACAACTCAGGTAGCTATTTCTTTTCAGTAATTTTATTGAAGTGATTCCCAAAACAAAGGATGTTGTCAATTTTGAGTACATCTGAGGTTTTAGAGTAAATTTGTAGTTTGGGTTGTGGATTTTGTGGTTGGTTGGCTCGCCAAGCTGGTTCGTTGTTTTTCCGCAGATGTTTCATTACCCTGCTGGGTAAGATCATCAGTGCAGCCTTGACGAAGCGCCGTTGTGTTTACCCGCCTGTTATTTAAACCCTGGAGTCCGTTCAGCTGGATTACCTCACTTCCGGTTTTCCTTCGCAGTGCAATGTACATGGGGTCAAGCTCTGTGTTTGTTGATGGCTTTCTTCGTGGAGTACCAGGCTTCTAGGAATTCCCGTGCTTGTCTCTGCTTTACTTGTCCCAGGATCTTGGTGTTGTCCCATGTCCACATGGATAAGGAGAACCACCAATTTGACTGGGACAACACCAAAGCAGGGACAAGCATGGGAATTCCTAGATGCCATGTACTCCACGAAGAAAGAGCTTGATCCCATATACACTGCACTGCGAAGGAAAACCGTAGTTGAGGTAATCCAGCTCAATAGACTCCAGGGTTCAAATAACAAGTGGGAAAACATAACGGCACTTGAGGCTGCACTGATGTTACCCAGCAGGGTAATGAAACATGTGCGGAAACACAACAAACCAGCTCGGCAAGCAAACCAACTACAACAATTTGAGTACGTTTTCATAATAAAGGTTGAGTTTTAGAACAGACACATTCCCCTTGATTTCACTTTAATATCAGAATACTAGAAAGGATTCTGAAAACTATACAAATTATACCCTACAGTATTCTCAGGTTACAAATATTTTAAATCTACAAACAACTACAGCAGATAAAATACAGTAACAGGTCATTTACTTCAACTGGTCTATACCGATTATTTTCCACAGCAGCCTCCTCTCATCTAATCCAGCAGCATTACTTTCTCTTCATTTCTCCTTGAAATGGTTATTGAAACGTGTTTAATAAACACATCTGTAGTACAATGCAGGAAAGTTTTCCCCAAGCTGCCCAAGAGATTTCTGCAGAACTGGGAGGTCTGAAAATAAAACATCTAAGGAGTGGAAAGAAGCAGTGCTTGTGTCAGGACATTTTCACAAGGCTTTTACAACTTCAATGGGCCTTTTTCACCTGAGATTGATTAACTAGCAGCCCTTTTGATTCTGTGCTCAGTAAGAAGGAGCATAAGGTGTGGCTGTGGATGTCACTGTAGTCTTCAGAGAATGGCAATGAAACTGCATTCTGAAGATTAACTTCCAATGCCAGCATTAAGGGACAAAAACAAAGTTGCTGGAAAAGCTCAGCAGGTCTGGCAGCATCTGTGAAGGAATAAAACAGAGTTAACGTTTCGGGTCCGGTGATCCTTCCTCGTAACTGATGATGACCATTAAGGGGTTATGTGCTCGGCACCCTTTGTTGTTACAGAGAAAAGTTTGCTCCTCGGGGGCAGCAGCTTCTCAGAGATCCCTCCTCAGATCACTAGAATTTCAGAGCTATTTCTCAGAGACAGTGAACCCGGAGGATTGCTGAACTATAATTGCAGGGTTCCACTAGATTAATCAAGGTGCTTGAAGTGAGAGCTGAGAATGCCTGCTCTGAAATTCTTGTAGATACATCAGCTTCATCATACTTGGTGCTTGGCTTTGTCTGTAGAAGTCTTATTGGAGGCATAAACAGAGGTTCTAACTTCAAAGGATAGTCCTGATCAATCAACCACCTGATTCCATTAGGACTGGTCAAGTACAGTGCTGTAGGACGCGGCTCTGAGTTTCCAGAACGGTCGGCATCACATCATACTAGCTACACATTCGTTTAATAAGAGCCTTCACTTTTCATTAATTGTGCAGGTTCCTGAATGAGGCTTTCTGAGAGACATGTAATCTATCTACTGCTTCTTGCGTCTGTGGGAGCCCTGACAGTCGGAGTCTCTGATTCTATTGATGAGGAAATTAACTACATGGTTTCATTGAAGAGAGTCTGAGTTGCCTTCATTATACAATGATGAACTCCAGTTGCTTTAATGTACTAAAGATCTCCTTTTATCACCAGTGAAGAATTTGATTATATCAGTATTTACTTTCCAAAGCATAGTCTGATAAACAGACTCAATTATTTCTGACCCAAGGTGAACAGATACACTGCGATTTGTAACCTTTAATTAAGCAAAAATCACTTCAAGAGTGCCTGCCAGATCATTCAGACAAAAACTTATTCAGCAAGTAGCCAAGTATTAGAAAGGCAGTTTTATTACATCCGCCCATAACAAATATCAACACACTCCCAGAGATATGCAACCACATTGTTATATGCCCAAGCCCAAATGAGATATTAACATATCTGACTCTCAACAGGACCACTGTAATTTCTGAAGAGTAATATCAAATGCCCAAGAATTAATATACATGCTATAATAAAAAAAAAATCAAGCTAGCAAATCAACAAAAGAAAGCCAAAGACATAAATCACAATCTTGTGGCTCCCAAGTGACAGAAATTTAAAGATGTAGGGGTTAGAAATAATTTCTTTCATAATACAGCCAAGTATTTACTAACCTTCTTGAGACTTGTAGTTACAGGTTTGGCTTTGCTTTTGACCTTGAGACTTTTGCTTTTGGCAACTTTGAAGACATCTTTATGTTTCTGTGCCTTTGATTTGTTCTTTGCCATTCTGATAGCTTACTATAAGGTAAACAAACAATCCCAGGATCAATCCATTACTGTTTATACTTTCCTATGGGCCATAACTCACTATTCTAGGCAATTCCTCCTCCTCACTTAATAAAAGTCTGGCAAAGTTACTTCCCTCTTTTCTGATTAGTTGACACAGCTAGTAATCTACCCTCACTTGTGTCCAGAAAGTGTCCTAAAACCAACCTACTAAGAAATCCATGGAGGCAGAATATCTTTTTTCTCTAATACACTGTGCCAATTCTACCAATCAGGAACACGATGATTGAAATGAGCCCTAAGGGCGGTGAAACGCTGGAAAACTAGTGCTGACACTTCACAAGCTGACTGCATTCTATTGATCATCCAACCAGAACCAACTGATCGGTGTGTGATTTGCTTGCAGATTTCACTGAAGGCAGATGGGAAGAATCTCAGTCCCAAATTATTGTTGAACCTGTTGCTCGGGTTTCGCCAACTATATTGCCAACATTCTATAAGGACTGGGCTTTGATTGTCAGTGCAGTATCTCAGCCTGATCTGTTCATCCCTCTGGAACCAAGAAACAATAAAGACAAATCCTTTGACATACAAGTAATAATAAATTATTTTGAAATAATTTAACAGCTGATTGCTGATCAGAACCACATAATTTAGGCTATAAATTATAAACCAATTTAATCAATAGTAATTAGCACCAGAATCTCAATACAGAACCATAAAAATTTAGAAATATTTAAATGACACTCCTCAGTTACAGAGAGATAACAAAATCAACACAAGGCCCAGCACTGATGCAGGGAGAAGGTGGAAATAGCATCACATCACAAACTTTCTTCCTAACTGCTCTTGAATGGCTCTATGCCCCAAGTATTGCAGCAGTTCAAGCAGGCAACTCACCATCAGCTTCTCCAGAACAACTGGAAGTGGACAATAAGTGCTGGCCTAGCAGTGACACAAATATCCCATGTAAGTATTTTGTTAAAAATTATCCTTTTTCCTGCTATGCAATCAATTAATACTCCAATGCATGGATGAAAAGCAGGACAGCTCTGTGATACAGAGTGCACATTTTGTTTCAAGTGGATCGCCAAGACAATGCTCATCTCTTGGACAGCCACATGCACGGAAAGTGCCATGAGCTGGAGCAGCCAGTGGCCCGAGTGTGGACTGAGAGGAGGAGTTAACACTATTGCAGTACTTGTGAGGCTTCCATGAATAGCATATTTCTATTTGTGGCCACCGCAGTTTATGCGGGCAGAAGGGTGAATAGGTGAATGCTAGGCCATCCAATAGGATGAAGCAGGTAACAAGAATTGCAAGAATCGCAAGAATCTCATGACTGCATTTCACTTTCTAACTGGTATTTAATTTCTGAACACTGGGGAGTCCAATCCAGAGCCCACTTCTTGGCACCAACCCTGGCTTAGTTGTACACAGCTGACAGGACTAAAAATGGGAATGCAACAGTGATGAGGCATTCTGTAAAGAAACAGACAGGCACCTGCAGTCACAGGTTAGAACGCAGATATATATGTTACCTCTCCATGCTGATGTCACTGAGTGGTTGCACAGCAGTCTAAGAGAAAGCACTGATTAGTCCTTGTTCACAGCTCATAACTGTACCAATAACTTGGTTTGAAATAAGGGAAGAGATCCTACAGACAGGTTATAGGGATCTAAGAATGAGCTCGCTGGATCTTAGAAGTCATAATTTATGGATCACTCCCAGTGTCATGTACTGCTGAACACAGAAATAAAATTGCAAAAGCAGATGAATACATGTTAGAGATTGTGCAGGAGTAAGGGTTTTCGATTCCTGGAACTTTGTGACATGTTCCAAGGGATACATATGAGCTGGACAAAGTTACAAGTTAATGGAGGTGGAACCAATGCAGTTGTAGGTTGGTTTGCATGTACTGTTGGGGAGATGTAAACTAACTTGGTGAGGAAACAGGCACCAGGGTGTGACATGATAAAGCAATATACAAGCTGCACAAATAATTGAAAAAAAATCAAAGGTAATAACTGCATTTGGAGTTAAAAACCAAAAGAACTGCAGGTTAGAGATT